AGAGAGAGAGAGAGAGAGAGAGAGAGAGAGAGAGAGAGAGAGAGAGAGAGAGAGAGAGAGAGAGAGAGAGAGCAGAAGGCGTGTCAAAAAGTTCATTGCTGCAGAAGGCGACTTAGAAAGTCCAGTGAATCTGATCATTTAAGGGAAAGAGAACCTGTCACAACACTTCCATGGGTGATTCTGCGAAAGGCTCATTGAAAATTTATTTTTGTTCACAAAAGGAGGAGAGGGGAGGGGTAAAGGAGAACGGACTCCAAGGGAGGGGGAGGAGGAGGAGGAGGAGGAGGAGGAGGAGGAGGAGGAGGAGGAGGAAAGATAGGACCAAGAACGTGAGGGGTGTTGGATGTACCTGTTTCATAACCACTCTGAAACTATATGACTGAGTTGGTACTCCATGCAATAACACCACAGGCGGCTGCTGAGATGCCGCATTGCCTTTTCCTGTCCACATCCACACATTGCGGCACACACATGCAGACAATTCCTGCTTACGATGTCAATTAAGGACGTGAAAGATGACGAATGTGGGTGAAAAAAAGACAGTAGTCAAGACAAAAGACACAGAAGGACCACAACCAACTATCAAGCACAGCTGGATAAACGTTAGTAGGGGATGGATGAGGCCAACCAAATCTCCAAAATACCATGGAAGAAAGACAAAACGAGTTTAAAAGACAGTTCGCCCAGTCCAGGACAGTAGTCTGCAATGGCTGACCACATACGCTGCCCTGTCTGTCCATCACTGTCTGCATCTCAGGAGAAAGTAACAGCGACCCTAACAACAGCTAGGACATATGTGTTGTCTGTTCAGACCAAGTGCAGGAGGACCTAATCCACTCACTGTCTGATCAGATGAAATGGGCCCACAGAACAGTGGGCCCGAGCCTCAGACCTGTGGGACCATCTATTCTCCTCCACCTTCCTTGAACACCCACCCAACTCCTCTGGACTAGCATCCCTTCCCATTTTGACAAATCAGGGAGGGCATGGTTTGGACTTATTCGCAAAGTGACGCTACGGGGCGATACGGAAGGAAAGGTGCACCATGATGCTTGACAATACCCAGGAATCGCACGGCAAAGTATGGACGGCAACGAGAATCTTCCCTCTTTTGTCGGGAAGATTCATTCCCTCTTTTCCCTGCAAAGCATGGACACTACCCAGGACTCGCACGGCAAAGTGTGGACGGCAACGAAGGGCAATGATTGAGGCAGAAATCCAGAGACAACGGAAAAGGGTGAAAGAGGCTATTTGGATCGATACCCGAGTCTGAACAGTTATGATTGACAAGGTTCACGAAAATCTGGTTGTGCAGCGGCAAGGTGGCAGACATCCACGCAAACAGACTATGTTGGAAAGACTGGCATAACTTGGATCCATCGCAGCAGAAGCAGGACACCCCACGGGAGAGATCTCGGAGCAGTACACGGCAGGGATGGCGATAGGCGAGGTCCTTATCAGGGAGGACTCGAGGAGACAATTTCAGGGGGCATGGTTGTCAAAAGCAGAAGACACACAGGATCAACATGGCAAAGTCAGTCTCAGCATTCTTGTCGTGAAAAGCTATAACTCGCAGGTTCAGTGTTCGGGGCAAGCTAAGGGAGGAATCAATGCTGGTCAGGGGTCCTTCCGCCAAATGGAAGGAAGCATGAGGCGGTGTTAATGATGTAATCTATTCTCTTGCCGGGGAAAAGGAACTGCGCTGATGCTCCCCAGAATGGATATGGACTCATTATGGAGCCAGGACCACTCAAACAAAAAAAACAAAAAACAAAAAAAAACAAAACAAAAAAAAAAACGGTGCGCAATGCCAGCTGGCTGTGTCTCTATGTCATGCAGATGGCAAGTCTAGTATCTATCAATTTGCATTCTACAAAATGAAGGCTGCATTCTGGCTGGGCATGCGAAAGTCAGGCTGCAGTTTTGTTTTTTTTTTTTTTTCAACAAAAAGTGCACCCTTATGGCTAAGGCTCCATTCCAAGTCACTGCGGTTTCTTTGTACCCCCCAAAAAAGAAAAAAAAGCAAAGAAAAAAAAAAGATCACATCTTACCACCTCTCATTGCATCTAACTATCATCACTTGAGTCTTTTCTTTTGCTTGCAAAGAAACTGAAGCCTCCGCCATAAGGTTGTCGTTTTTGATATCTATACAAGGCATAACCGGGTCTTGCGTAATGGGCCCAGGCATGACCCGGTCGACAGGCGGGACCCAGGAGTGGTGGGGCGCCCGGGGCTGCAGGGGCAACTGCGAAACGACACAGAGTTGTTTGTTTGTTTTTTTTTGGTTTTGTAACTTTTGTGCTAGTTTTTTTTTTTTTTTGGGTCCTTTGTTTGTTTGTTTGTTTTTTGGTTTTGTGCTAGTTTTTTTTTTTCTTTTGGTCGTTTGTACCAACTGGCCCTCGTAGCATCGCCAACCTACCCCACACTGTACCAACCAGCCCACATAGTACCCTCCAGTCCACATACTCTGTCCCACTCTACCCACATAGTATCATCCAGGCCACATAATACCACCCATCCCACATAGTACCGCCCAGTTCACATACCATGACCTGCGCAACTTAGTGCCTCCCAACCCACTTACCCCACCCAGGCCCACATTATACCACCCAGCCCACATAGTAACACCCAGTCCAGACCCAACCCATATAATATCACCCATGCCAATATAATACATATGACATATAGTACCCCACCCAGTCCACATAGAATGACCCTTCCACCCTGGTGCGACCAAACCCACATGGTATTTCCCACGCCACATAATACCGCGTGGCCCACATGCTACCACCTGGTCGTGGTAAGGGCTGAGTTGTGCCGGATGTTGGCCGTGTCTGTGTTGCGAGTGTGTGTCAGTACCATCCACTCCAGATGGTGGCCATCAAAGATTTCCATCTTCGCTCTAAAGTGTGGCACTACATCGAGAAGACCCTTTTAGCCGCTCCGGGTTGGTTCATTTGGATTGAGAGTTTGCCTAAGAATATGACACTGCTGCTCTAGATGATGGAGGTGGCGGTGGTGGTGGTGGTGGTGAAAAAAAAATAATAATAATAAAAAATGATGGAGGTGGAAGCTTTTTTGGTTTGTCACCTTTACACCATGGTTGCATCGTGTGGACGACCTCCCTGTACATGGTACTGCTACCAAGAAAAAGGTCACACTTGCCTGGAGTCTCCATTCTATACCATAGATCACAAGGATCAGTGGACAGAAACACAGAATACGAGTCCGTGGACCTTGCTGCAGGAGCGAGAAGAAGAGGAGGAGAAGGAGCTGAAGGGAGCTCTCCAAAACAGTTGCTAGGGAGATCACTTCGACATTGTATCATTGTTGATTCTTTATTCTTTGTTTAGAACTTGAGAATACTATGACGCAATAAAGGGTACGAGAATTGAGGGTGATGAAGGTGGCGAGCTGCGGGAGGATCTTATCCGGCGGAAGGGTCTTGTGTAACGGTTCCACCGTTAGGAACCAGTTTTTTCTATAAGCGCTCACGCGCCTATGGGGCGAAAGGCATGAAGCGTAACATACGCTGAAGAGCGGTTCGGAGGAGAGAAAAAACAAAGCATTTCGAATTTTGTGACATCCAGCGTCATGGAAGTGACCTCACATTATTCATGAAGTGCTTACTTCACGAAGTTTCGTCTCCACTCGAAACTTACAAGAAGAACGTTCCGCTGCTGACCCTGAAGATCAATGGCAGCGATATTTGACATCGTTCGCTAAATTCTGTCTCTGGCTGACCCTCTTTGCTGCCTTGCAATATTATAGAGCTTTTTGCGCCTCTGTTCTTTGCTTTTCTCCATCTCTTCTTTCTTTTTGCCTTCTTCTTTACTCGTTCTTCTTTTCTAGATTTTTCTAATGAAAAGATGTGCTCCAATTTTTCACTCATTCTTCATTTTTTGGGTGATTAATGTCCTTATATGGATCGGACTTTGCGTCATGATTGAACTTGGGGATGGCAAGAGCTTACCCGTTTCACGAACAAACCACCGATGGGCTCCAGCACGGACATATCGTCCGAAGTCACGACCTTTCCCTTCAATTTGCTGTCAGAACCAAAAAAAGAAAACCAACAAATGTGCAAAACAAACACCACCATAACAAAAAGCTAAGACTTCCGAATGCAGATCTCAAACCTGCATGGAGGATCAAAAAAACTTTGATAGCTTAAATTAAATTTACAAGGTCCCACTTCGATCAAACTCTCTCTCTCTCTCTCTCTCTCTCTCTCTCTCTCTCTCTCTCTCTCTCTCTCTCTCTCTCTCTCTCTCTCTGCTGCTCAAATGGTTT